AATCCACCATGTCCAACTAGTGCTAGGACTTTTGGGTGTTCTGTAATAAATAGAAGTTGAAACGTGAAGAAATAGTTGAAACCTAACAATGATATGGCTATAGCTTTGTAATTTAAATTTTAATGATTATATAATTTAAATTAACTGATAAGTAAAAACTTAAAATAAGTCCTTGAAATAATAATAACATTGTAAATGGTATAATTAATATGTGCAATACACTAAACAAAGTTAGACTTAATTGTACAGTATTAGTACAAACTTAATATTCTATATTATTTAAAACACAATCTAGCAAAATACAAAAAACTACTCAGTACGAAACCTAGTACATATGTTAATTATAAACTAATTACTTTAATATCAGAAGTGGCATATAGTTACTTACGCAATAGTTGTGCTTGTGGTATCCATTTCAGTCTCAATATATTTTTTCCAATAAATGACCCTCCCTCCGAAGATTCCGAGTGTTTCCAAATAACTCTTTGTTTTAATTTTGAAAAAGACTTTATTAATTCATTCTCTGTTTTTCTGGATAATGACGAAGAGCACAAGGATGACCCGAAACTGAACAAAATGACTCCGTGGTTGGATTCATTTAGATATTTTTCAATAAACTGAAATGATAGAATTTTTATATTTATGATAACGCAAAGAGATGTTCGACACTAGGAATTGTTCAGTAGGTGTTGAATTAATATTATAGGTAAGAAAAAAACCAAAATATATGTCACTCAAAAATTACCGATATAAATTTTGACGAATAAATATCTAAATGATGTAAAATCAAGATGCCTTACCATAGGGATCGTGTTCGTTTTAGGCTGTATATGAATCCCTCCAACTTCTACAATACCAGGTACTCTGGGATACACGCCGTTCAAAACATGATACGAATTAACAAGAATCAACGATTGGTTATTTGCTAACTCTTGAATATCAGGGATTCTCCTTCCAAAGCTTTTTTCTATCAACATCCGTTCGTTTTTACGTAACGTTTGATATACTTTGTCACTTAAATAATGTACGATCGTGTTTTCTACTCGTTGGAAGAACGACATTTTATGTGAGAACGAAGAAGTTACGATGGGAACATAAGCAGGGTTGTCATCTGCGCCCATTCTGCGAGCCTTATTAGGTAAAAGCTGAGGGCTAGACAGACCGACGACTGGGGCTTTGATCCCAAAGGCACTTATAAGCCCAAGCATACAATCTCCCGCAAAATTTTCGACAATCACGAGATCGTACTGTTTCTTCAACGTATCGACTACTGGTGGGAATTGTATCATCTTCTTACATATTTCTAACGCATCATTAGCTAGATCTATATGCTGTATGTACTGATCCCAAATGTTCCCAACGATTGGTATTTTCTTGATCCAACTCGGTTTTTCATAAGAATCGATCATAATGAAATCTAACTTTGGTTGGGTAAGACTTTGAAGGTTAACTTCTTTGTAATTTTCTGGGGGTACCCGATGCGGAAAAAATGTCATAACTGTGATCTCATGGCCGCGTCCTGCTAGTGCTTTCATAACAGGATCGAAAACAATCTGATGACTTTTACCCGGATGTGGAAATAAGCCGAGAATTCGAGCTGATTGCGCTTCATTGAGAAAAAAAATCACCCAAAATTTGTAAAACGAACCCATGACTGCTTGGGAGCTAGTTCAGGTGTCTTCTGATAAGTACGTACAAACATTTAATTTTTAAACATGTTATTAATATGATAAGCGTTTTACACAGGATGTTTCCAATTTTAAATGATTGCAGATATATTTATAATTCTATATATTTCCTTAACTTTTACTATAATCCGGTCAAATTAGACTAAAAAATAGGGGTAAGGTTACAGTAATTCGCACTTGGCTGAATATTGGTAGGATTGCTCAATACACTATTATAAAGGAAATGTGAAAAGTCCTCATCGATCCGGCACGTGCAAAAAAATTTACTCCGGGTCAAAGATCACAAAAATGGGTTTTTCGCGATTTTCAGCAAAATGGTAAGTTTTATCATAAAATTAGTGTAGACAAAAATTGTACATCAGATAATTATCTATAAAAAATGTCAAAATACTTTTTTTCCTAAGAGCCACCGTTTTTGAGATATAACGATTCAAAAAGTTGAAAGAGTTGTAATAGTCAAAGGTGGCGTGGAAACGTGTGCATACTATTCAGCCAAGTGCGAATTATTGTAACCTTGGATGTCTAAATTGACCGGACTATTAAACATACCCAAATAACTCTATGATATTTTTTTACAAAAAATGTATTTACACACAAAACCTGAATGTCAGTGCCTTTTGCATAAATTACTTAAAAATATATTATAGTAGTAGTTTACAACATATTAAAATATGTTATTTCTCTGTCAATTTGATAATGATGAAAATAATTTAATTTACTTTGTCTTTTTTTAAAAGTGAAGCTCTTAAATATTAAATAACTAAATAGATATTATTAAACGATCATTAAGACGTAACGATTTAACTATTCATTTAACAGACCTAATTTTTTTCTGCTTATCGATTACAATGTAGAAAGTAGCATTCCAATGAGGTTATAACATATTCATAGATTATTACAAAATATATTAATACTTAGCAGGTTATTTGCAATTAACATTTCTAAATCATGTTTTAAAAAAGTGAAATTGTAAAATAACCAAAAAATTATTGTGAAACCTCAGTGGAAATCTTTGCTTTTTTTACATTTACAAAAGACATGCAACCTATCATAATGTATAAAAAAGGCTCAAATAGAAGGTAACTTGATAATTAAATAAAACAACTATAACATTTAATAATTATAATTTAACGAGGCAAACTTTGGTAACATAGTTTCGGCAGGCGCTATAATTTGAATTTTCCTAAATTTACTACGATATACACCTGCCCATATAATGGAAAACCAAATTACATTCGTATACATTTATGTAATTAAAATATAATTGTGACTCCAATCTATCTTACATACTTTTAATTATGGAGGCATTTGGATTGGAGGCAACAAAATCGTGCGTGTTGAAGTTGAGAACCGCACCCCATTGCGGACGGGTAAAGAGGATATAGAAAGCGTTCATAAATTTGTTTAGCTCGGAAGCGTCATGTCTGCAACTGGAGGTACATAAAAAGACATTTCTTCACACATTGCCAAGGCCCAAACAACCTTCGCACAACTTCGGCCTGTATGGCAGTCACGGTATCTGGTATCTGACACAGATCACTCATAAGTAACCAGGGAAGATGTGACAGAGAGATCCGTAGGCGAAAACGAAAGATGGCTACAGCAGCAATGAGCAAACTCGATATTTCTTTATTATTCTTATTTTTCGAACTACCAGCAGCTCTTCAGAACTTTGGTGTTTTCCATATTTTTGTACGAATCAGTGTCCTGGTTAATTCGTGCAGCGGACCAACATTAGATAGAGGCATTCGAGATGTGGTGTCGGAGGAGAATGTTGCCAATACCAAGGACTGCAAAAAGAACCAATAAGTCCAGTCTCAGCCAACTATAGATCACCACAAGACTGTCAAGTTATGGGTGTCCACATCCCTAAGGCACTGAGACAAGCTGAGGATAGAGTGGAGTGGAGGCAGCACTTCGAAGTGTCGGTTAGGGCGTTTCAAGACAGGCAAGACCTTCAGTAATGAAGACTACGAAAAAGACGCTATTTATAAATAATGATCAAATTGGCTTAGTAAATAACTAATAACAATCACAAAACGACGTGTATGTATATACGGTTGTACTTTTCTCCATTTTATTTTGATTTTTAAAATATAGCTAATAGCTAAAATCTAAATAATATGTTGTCGAACAATGATAAATTGGTAAAAATTTGCTTAACACTTTTAACTATTGATATAATAAATCCACAAAAGATATATAAATAAAAGTGTGTGTGTGTCAGCTACGACGCACGATTGGAGTTTACTCCTTACGAACGATAAAATGGCGATAATGTTCTGTGGCTGTCGACCATATTTTCATACTAAAGGTGGTAAGAATATATTATGTTTTTATAATGTAAATGTTTGTAGTAGTAATAAAACGTACCTACATCATCTATGCCCAAATAGGATTTTCTTTCTGTGACCAAAGTTACCTATATAGTAAGAGAAGAATAAGAATGAACAATCTTTTTAGTTTTAATTTCACTGACCATTACTATTGACAAAACTCTATGGCACTCTAGACAATCTACTTTTATTTTTTACACCTGTCAACACTGACAATGTTGTAACGTGGCTGTCAAAACGTGAATTCAAAATAGAAAAGTCTGTGTAATGTATTCCATCTCATTCTTTTACACGTTCAATCCTACAGATATATATGTTTGTCTCTTTCTACATAACGCCTCAACTTTTCGTGTTACACTTGATTTTACTCCTCATAAAATTTCCGTACCGGGCCTTATAACTCAAATCGTTTCTTAAGGAGTAAACTCCAATAGTTTTTTTCTATACATTTCTTAAGTTTCATGTTACATATATATGTTATAAACAGCACCATAATTATAATAACTTAAAAATATGTTTAATAAGTCAAATATAATATTGGCTATAAATCACATTGGTTCTTTTAAAGATAATCACAATTCTTTGAATTTTTCGTAAAGTATTATTTCCATTATTATAAGTTTATATAGTTATATATTTTCATTATTAATCTAATTACCTCTGTTTCTAGTTAATTCTTATATTTGTTCTATTATATCCTAAAACACAGAAACAGCTCTTTTCCAACCACACTATAGTTCTATTATTGTCAAAGCAATCATCTTGATTTATGAAAAGATTTAAGTGTTGTAACTCTGGAGGTTGGAATGTACAGTTGAGCGAACAGTTGTTTTGATTGTTTTCACAACCAAGCGATGCATATTGATGTTTTGTAGTTACATCGTGAACTCTAAACCCCCAGGAAGATAAGAATGAGTACCTACCTATGTATCTAAGCTTAAACGTAAACTTAAAGCAAACCAACAAAGCTATTGTGTTAATGTAACTTCTGCTTCCGTTCCTTAACAATGAGCCTTGATACCCTCATAAGAATAAACCAAATAATAACAACAATAGTAATAACAAAAGCGATAAATGCCGCCGCAACGTCGAGCAAGGCAAGTTGGTAGAAAGGCATATCCCTGGCTGGAGAATGGAGTTTCGCAGCTGGACCCCAACGAATCACCCTCTCAACCCAGTACACGGCGGTCTCGAGTGGCGGGGTTTGTCTGTCATTCCAGATATTTGAAAGTAGACGCGCTTGCAAACGCATTCTGAAAGTGAGAAATATCGCTTTAATATTATTAGTAGTCCAGTTGTACCTATATCCTGTGCCGTGTTTTCGCCTGAGTAATAATGAGTTTCATGTAATCCATTTTTCATAAAAATGCATGTCTAATTGCACCGTTTACCTAAGTACTCATCTGTCTCTTTTCATCCCAGCGTAAACACAATTTTATAGAAAGAGACGAAAGAAATGAGAAGGTAAAATAGTGCAATTAGAGTTACATATTAAGTTTTTATGAAATAGGGGCGGGGGGTAATTTATTATTATTAAGCTATTAGGGAAAAGTTAATGTGTAGATTGCATGATTCCAGTAAAAATTTTCAAATAAAAACTATTTGACTGTTGGTTAAGGTCGGAATTATACTAAGTCTTATAACTTCTGATTTTGAAAAATACTGAAAAATATTGTGTTTAAGACTAGAAGCGACAGAATTTAGCTACTGTTCTAAAATAGTTTATTGTCTTAGACAATAGATATAACTTCCGCATATGATATTGGCATTGAGCCCAAATTTCTTGCCAAGGGCTTGTAATGCATGGCATATTTGTTACATTATGTCAATTATTGTAGGTGTCATAAGTTTAAAATAATTATTTTTCTATAAAGACAAGATCAGCATGGCTGCAGAAATTGGCACAGACGGGATTCGATTGAGAGTTACTGCTCAACTGCTTGGCTAACATTAAACATAGCGAATGAAGATGTTTGGTTTTCCTATTTATTTATTATATTTTTTTATTTATATTCAATAATAAAATGCTTTAATATATAAGGAGCATGGTGTTTTAGTTATTTATAAACATATTGTAAAAGAAACTAGACGTTTTAAAGTTTCTTGCTCGTTTATTCTACGCCCTTGATTTGAGTAATGTACACTTTATTAAGTTACCTAAATAAATAAATGATATTTCATGGTTCCTAAGTTCGTATTCCCTGGATGTTGTCGACTTATAATTAAATTATGAACCAGTTAGTTTATTAACTAAGGACCACAAGCGGGAATCGTTCTATTTTTATGTTCTATACATAAATATCTGCAACACGAACTGTAAATAGCTACTATTACTATTCGAGCTGCTTATTCTGGTTTAAAAGGTTCGTCTTTGATATTCAGAAAATATCCATTAGTCATCAATTATCATATTTAATTTATGTTAAAATTGCGAATATCAATGTCAAATGTAACAACGACAAGTTGTTGTATCATTTTCTACATATTTAATATTATAATCTATGCTGTCGCATGTGACTAGTCATAATTTAATTAAATTTTTAATGGCTGATTTTATTGACCTAGATTATATTTTATAGATACAGTTTATACGATTGTGATATATAATCTAATTAATGAAGTAACTGAATGAAAAAAACAAATACTCGTATATACTTAAGTCGTAGTTATACGTATATATATAATATATATAAAATAAGTTTTGATTAGAAGTTTTTACGCCTACTAACAGCTTAAGGCAATGTTGACGTTGCAATTTTACAAGTAATTTCGTCCACTACAAAAATAATAATATGTTAATTAAAACTATTAAAATACATGAAGTATAATGAGGTACTCACTCAGCACTTAAGACCTTTTCTAGAGCAGAACTTAACGATTCTTCAGTAAGATCATAGTAAGAGACAACTTTAGCCAATCCTGCTGCTTCTGCCGCAGCGCCGTTGGATGGTTGGTCTCCGAAGAAGGGCACAACCACCATGGGTTTACCAGCAGATACCGCTTCAGTCATACCCAAAAGGCCCCCATGTGCCAAAAATGCCACCACCTTTTTGTGACCTGAAAAAAAAATTCGCTATTTAGAAAAAAATATATTAAATAAATAGTAAATATATCTCTATAAGGGTTTCACTTATTTTGGCATCGTGGGTGGAGATTTAACTGTATAACGTAGACTCAAGAGTGTTGTTCAACTGTGATAGTTGATATGAACAAATCCCTAGCAAAGTACGTGATCCATAAATAAATTTATATCACTTATAAAATAAAGCTAAAGCATTTTTGAAATAATCAGATTAAGAATTCCTATCCGTTCAAAATTAATTAATATATATATTTGTAAAAATTGTCGAAAGAAATTAAGCCCGGCCGAGTTTTCATGACTTATTCTTCATGGACGTGTTCTTCAAACATGTCTATACTGTGATGTTCACAAGTGACCATGTATGATGCTGTATATGGCATTATTTTTTTTTGTACTCAAAACTAGAAGAGTTTATAAATGTAAAAAAGAAACTTATTTTGATTGAATCAAGCCTTCATAAACCCGTTTAACTTCCAAAGTATAATCCTTTTATAAGAAGCCAGTCTAACGTATTAATATTATGTATATAAGTACGTCAATCATCACTTGACCACTTTACATTTCTAACTTTCTATTTTCCTTGTATTTCCTCACATTTTACAGAGCTTACTACGACTTAAGTATACTTTACTCTTACAGTTCATTAAACATATCATAAAGGAAATACATATACAAGAACAACAATAAGCCCACATTGTAACTTAATAGATGATATGAATAGTAATGAATACAAAGGAAAACCATATAACATGTCAACGTGCATTTAGCAAGGTTCTTCCGAAGTGCCTATTATACAAAATCTTTAAAGGACTAATAAAAGATGCCCTTGAAGTAAATGATATTCGTTTACACATTTTAATTCAATCTGATTTAAAGGAAAAATCTTTTGGGATAGTAGCTGTATTTAAAATTGTTTTGGAACAAATCTCAGAACACTTTATTGGCAATTAGCAAAATGTTTTAATGAAATATAGCCTTCATTTGCAAGAGTTCACCAAGTGAACTTTTTGGATAGTAACTAACATTTTAAATATAATTTTCCTTAAAATTTGTAGTTCTTAGTTGTAGTTAGTAATTAGTTGTGAATATAACGTATTGTGTCTTAATATAGAAATGCCATATAATTAGCATGAAAATAGGGTAGGTAATAATTTTACAAATGAGAAACACGATTCTTTGAGGTTTTACGTGAGCATGACATTTGAATATTCCTCGGAATTGCGTTATTTCTGCTAAACTACAAGATGAGATATTTTCCTAGAGTTGAACATACAAAATAGCAATTATGTCATAGCCTTGTTCATATAGCTTTGTTTGAACAAAAAAAGATTCTGCAAAGTTAAATATATTTTATATATTTATTACAATGTAATTACTATCACGCCTGTCTAACACTATTACAGTGTAATAGTAACCATGATAATTAACTGTCTGCCTCACCTAATAATATTGCTTCGAGAACAATAATATTAGGTGAGGTTGTTTTTATGATGTTAAGTATTGTGTAGACTTTGTTCGTAAATAGTGTTTTGCGAACCCCGATCGAAAATAAGGAGAGAGATCTCGTCTTTCTTGCTAAGGGGCCAGGTTACATAACCATAAGTGAGCACTGGTCGCAGCAGAGTTTTGTACAAAACAAGCTTGGTATTCTTTCTGAGAAGTCGCGATCGGAAATATCTACGAAGGCCAAAGTAGAAGCGGTTTGCCATCATGATGCGTCTACTGATTTTATTATTATTAGATAAATCTAAATTATATTTAAAGTACTTTCATTGGATTAATATGTCTCTATGAAAAAAAACTTACGTAATAGTTCGTACTGAGGCAGCCACCTCACTCTCAAAATGTTTCCAGTAAGAGTACCTTCCTCTGCACTGTTTTCATACTTCCAAATCACCCTCTGCTTCAGCTTGGAGAGCGCTCTGGTTATTATCTCTTCTTTGTATTTAGGAATCGTTGCGGTCTTGATGAGAGAACCGAAGCTGAATATGACCACGCCATGCTCGGATTCGTTGAGGAATCTCTCCATATACTGTAAAAGGAAGATATTTGATAATAGAGGACACATGTAGGTACGTAGATTACTATAATATTATTATAAATTTCAAATTGAAAAACTACTTACTAGCTGACTTATCGAATACCTTATTCAAATATTAGGCTATATTGAAGATATGATTTCACATTATTATCTTACATTAGGGCAAACAGGTAAAACATATATGCTATTTAAGAAAGTACGATGGTTTCATTTACAAAGTATTAAATAAACTATTAATACACAGAGTTACTGTTATATCAAATTGATCTCATAGGCCCAAAAAAGGAGACTGTTACACTTTTTACTGTTGATAAAAATTTGCAATATCTATGTTATGCCTTCGGTCATTGCACCGGTCACTGACCTTTATTTGCGACACCGAGTAACGAGATATTGTAATATAATTATTGTATCGTAACGTTTCATTATACACATAATTTATCTGCATGCGCGAATTATCTTTGTTATAATGATGTTATATATTATAGTTGTATCAAGATACACTTAATAGTAATTAATAATTTACAAGATTCTATATTCTATTGTTCCAAGTACTTCATTTAATATATTATTATTATTTTAGAGTACACATTAAGCAGCATCTTTAGCTTTGCATTATATATAGAAATGAATATATATTTGTATTAAGGGCCATTTACTTTACCGCTCTTACCATTTTAATACAATATACCTATAGGTTTTTACAAATAAAGTTAAAAATTGTTATTTGTTCGATAAATAAAAGTGTCATTTAATATAACGAATGCTCTAATGTTCTTTCGTTGATAGATTTGACCTCGATAAACTGCTTGATTGATAAACCTATTAAGGCAAATTATTTAGCTTCGTACGTCAGTGTCTATAGATTGCATTCATTGCAAACTATTGGAATACATAACTTGTGTAGACAAGTTCTTATATTTATATCTTATTTAACAGAAAATTTATTAATGCTTGGTTTAGGTATAATGATAACGTATCTATCTCCCTTTGTTGTAAATACACTGCGAATTATTTCCTACGATGAGACTTAATTCCTAAGATAAGTAATATTTACAAATGTATGCCTTAATTAGTTGAAGTATATTACACTATCATTCATTTATTTGTCGCAGTAATGAGGACGAAACACTAGATATCAATAGGTACTTTAAACAAATATCAATTGTTTGTTATCAGTAACAAGCGCATAGCTTTAATCAAAATAACTTGACTTCAATTGTTTTAGTTTGAATATAGATTAGATAATATGCAGAAATTGTAACAGCGTTTAAAAGTTAAATACGAAGAATTAAATGCAATTGACAACATCGAAAGGTTCTTGTAACTGTGTGAGAGAGATTTGCTTCTGTAATAAGCAAATATAGCTAAGGAAGCAATATCAGGCGCATATAAAGCATTATCCCTAAGATACAAGACATGGGAAATAATGTCTAGAGTTTTTTTTGGATGCGACTTAAAAAGAGAGAAGTGTAAGTGGAGTAATTGTGAAAATTAAATAGTGATTAACCTAATAAACTGATTTTGTAATCAGGTAAATGGGTTATCGTTATCACAATAATAACGTTGTAGTTTGCGAGTCATTTGTTAAAGAGGTCTCAGTCGATAATATTAAACAAAACACAACGTACTTATGAGCTTTTATCTGTGTATTTCGGTAAAAACTTAGAATATGTATTAGTTAAAAAAAGATATGTAATAATAATGAGGTGTTATGAAAATGTGATCCAACGTAAATATTTTTAATTTTAAATACCTTTTAGATACGATAGAAATAACCAACACCAACTACCCTATTTTCGCTCTTTTACACCGAATTAAATGCATGGCTAAGAACCATAATATATTTGAAATGAATACGCTTTAATAAAATAATCTTAGTAATAAAGCCTAATTATTAACGTTAAAAAAACAATAAAGATGCATAGAAAAACAAAAAATTGTTTATGATCACGGATAAATTTTAGAGAAATAAAAGCACAAAATCTGCTTGTCTATATAATTTATTCCCAAGATAAAACTTAATGTATTTCAGAATTATTTATAACCAAAACTGATTAAGGAACAAGTTTTCGACATAAACAGATATATTTTGTCACTGATAAAGTAAAATTTATTAATGGCGTAGGTATCTAAAAAACAATCGTTATTAGTATTCGGTATTTTTGTTAGTGACCTTTAAAATGTTGGCAAGGTAGGTAAATAGATTCACTACGTAAAGACTTATTCCGGTTCTTGTATTATTTGAATGAAATTTGAAGAGAATATTCATAGACGACAACAACGCAACATACAAGCATACATTTTACGCTTGTGTTATACATTTTTTATTCAGTATGTCAATAATTTTTATTCAAGATGTCAGGGTATTTTAACCTACATAAGTACATAAGTGGGAAAGGCTGTTGTTTTTGTTTTCTATATTAAGAAGCCGAGTTATAATGTTACGAGAATAAGGCCGGAGGCGCTACAGGAACAATTTAGAGTATAAAAACGTGTTCACTTTTATCTAAACACAAGAGCATAAATAACATCCTTGAATTTTCTTAATAATTATCACAATATTATACCTGCGGAACTTACCCCCGGTATGTGCTTTCTAGTATTATCAAGATGCATACCACCAACTTCGATCAGTCCCGGGAGAGATGGGCGCACACCATTCAGAGGATGAAACGTGTTGACCATCAACAATGTTATATTTTTGGCCAAATCTTCCAGAGGCACTTTCAGACCATAATGCTTTTCAATTAACGACTTCTCCTTCTCTTGAACATCGAAATGGAACCAGTATTTCAAAAACAGATTCATAAACGTATTCTGCACCCTTTCTACATAAGTCATCGGAGTTGCCCAACTTGCACTAAGCACAGGTAAATAGGCCGGATTATCGACGAAACCGATACGCTCTGCAGCCCACGGCACTGCATTCGATGACGACAATGCAACAATCGGTGCTTTAATTCCATAAACATGTAGCAATCCCAGCATGCAATCACTGCTGAAGTTTTCTACTATCACGATGTCGTAGTCGCCTTTCAAAGCCTCCACGAGCGGCGGCCAATCAATAGCCTTCCCGCAGACGTTTAAAGCCATTCCGGCGAGAGGTTGAAAACCGGCAAACTGTTTAAAAATTTCACCCACAAACGGCAATTGGAACACTAAACTAGGATTTTCGAACCATGACATATCCAATGTCTCGACACCTATACCAGCGATACCTTCGAAACTGACATCGGTGTAATTTGAAGGTGGACTTTTTAAGGGAAAGAATGACGCGACTGTCATTTGGTGTCCACGTTCAGCCAGCTGCTTAAGAAGGGGTTCAAAAACCATATGATGGCTCTTCCCCGTATGTGGAAATAGACCGAGAATTTTTGCGCTTTGAACATGATGGAGCGCGACGAACGCGAATATTATCGTGAGAGCACGCATCGCACGCTCTTCCCGGTAGAGAGGCGAGTAAAATACTGGCAAACTGTGCGAGCAGCCCGACACTGAACAGTCCGACACTATTTTCAGAATGAGTTACATGACATCCGCGGCTGTTATAACTTATAACGCATGACAATCGAAGATTATTGAGGTTAGACCTCAGCCTTTAACCTCGATAATGAACTACTTAGATAAGGTTTTGATAGTTTAAAATATACATATTCATTCAAAATAAGAAATGTGTAATTTTAATTAGCCATTTGGCCAGTAATTACGATTTTTTTACTGAGTAACATCCGTAATAATTTGACTGAAATTCATTATGTTTTTAAGAGTGAGCCATGGGAACTGACCTCCCAGAATTTTTTGTCTCTAAACTTATTTATAAATAATATTTAAAAAATCTTATGTACTATCGCGCAAACTTAAGCGACGATACATACATTGTTGTAATGTTAAATAGTAATAGTTGTCTATTTTACTAGAGTATAGTAAGTACTTTAAATACGGTCTATTTGACCTTTACGAATTAAATCTTCGTAAAATAAAATTATAGAACGCCGAATTTTTCTTGATATTAAAATATCACGCAATTATAACGGCACAGAAATTATAGGTCATAATCATAAGGAGTGCAAAAATGCGTATGTTAAATTTCTTGCGTTATACCTAGATAGGCTGTATACAAAAAACGAGCATATTATCATGTTCATATAAAATATTAATAACATATTATAGACCTAGTTTGCCTCTCAGTGAATAAGTGTCAAGGTTCATAGCTATCTTGTGGAAAACGGAAATGCACTGCATATGCCTGTCTTTATAACATCAATATACTTGCGACAATATTTCCGATGCTTTCGCCACTAAGCAGCAGCGTTACGATTTAAAATATTTTATGATATTTTGATTGCCAAAGAAAAGGGGTAATTCGATGAAGGTGAAATCTATTTATTAATTATTTATCTATTTTTCGGTAATACCTGACCCGTTCATACTTCCCACAAATTATGGTATATAGATTATATAATATGTTAGCTTAGTCTCCCGTGAATGTTTGAATTATTACTTTCTCCTATTATTGCTAAAAAACCTGTCAATTGAAATTAAAAAAAAAAAATTCACTAGAACAATACTATATACTTTCGTATGCATAGATATATTAAACATATTAAGTAGGAAATTAGCAAGTCATTCTGAGTCTTCATTTGAGTATTGATATTGTTTGACGATTGATAAGGCAAGATATTGTGTGAGTTATAAAATATACAAGGCGTCATAATTGAATCATATTAAAATTAATGAGCATAAATATAGTATACCAATACGAAATTCGTATGTTACGCTGTCACGTGTAAACGCTTGATTTTAGAAGATGGCAATAATCAATTATTTTGCCCAAATTGTATATTGCCTAATATTTGTTATTAAGTCTATATCAGGCATTTTAATTAAATTGAGGTGACCTAAAATTATAGCAGACATATATCAATATAATATAAAAATATAATATAAGGATAAAACCAAGTTCAACATGAGATAAATGAAAAAGATTATTTACATCACATGATAATAGAAATGAATGGAGTTAACCTCTTCAGTAAATATAAATGAGATTAACTTTATCGTAATAAAGGTCTTACATTAACAAACATTCTTAACTCACCTGTGGAATCTTCTTTCCTTCTGCATCAAGGTGCATACCACCAACTTCAAGCAGTCCTGGTACCAAGGGGCGTACCCCGTTTAATTGGTGAAACGTATTCAACATCAGTAAACTAATATTCTTCGATAGCTCGTATAATGGCACTTCCTTACCATAATGCTTCTCAATAATTGCTTTCTCGGTGTCTTGTACATTTTGCAGGACGCGCTTAAGATATACATTCAAAACTGCATTTTTTACTCTCTGTATATACGACATGGATACAGTCCAAGGTGAAGTTATCATAGGGACGTAAGATGGATTGTCAACAAAACCTAAACGTTCTGCAGACGATGGAAAAGCGTTGCAAGATGAGAGCGCTATAACTGGGGCTTTGATGCCATACACGTGTAACAGACCCAGCATACAGTCACTGTTAAAATTCTCTACGATCACGAGATCGTAGTCATGCTTTAACACTTCAATTAATGGCTGGAAGCCCACTAATTTTTCACAAATCATAATAGCGCTTCTGACAAGCGGTCGTGTCTCATCACGTTGTTTAATAATGTCTCCGATAAGTGGAATGCCGTACTTCAAGGGCGGGTTTTCGTACATAGACATATCTAAAACTTCTAGTCCCAAACCGGCGAGACCGACAAAGCTTAATTCGGTGTAATTCACTGGGGGATTTTCAAGTGGGAAGAACGAAGCGACTGTCATTTGGTGGCCGCGTTGAGCTAATTTTAGGAAAAGAGGTTCGAACACCATGTGGTGGCTTTTCCCCGGATGAGGAAAAAGGGCGAGAATTTTAGCACCTTGAACATGGTGCAGACTCGTTATTACAGTTAAGATATAATATATTACAGGACGCATCACAAACACTGTTCACGGAACTATTGTTAGCCAGATACTGCGCAAGATCACACAATTTGAATGTTTGCCTACTTTATCAGAATGTAATAATTTTTGAAGATGATAACTACAAAAATAAACGTTACGAGTTATCAACAGCTATCTGCTCGTGTGTCAATCAGATGATTCATGTAGACTGTAAACACGAAATAATAAAGCAATTTATTTCTCTGCTCCACTTACTTGATTCAAATAAATCGACACAAAATATCATTCAGGTTTATTACATTTATTTATTTCTCCGAAAACTTTCTACCCGAATTTATTTATAATTATATACATAACTAGCTGCCCCCGCGAACTTCGTTTCTCCTTAATGTGATTTGTTTGTTTGGTCTACCAACATGGAACATTTTGCTATGCTACCCCGGAGACTGTTCGATTTTCCGGAATGATTTTTTTTTAGGTTTTTCTGTATATAAACCTCTGAGTTCAAGTCATAAGTTTTAAATTGATAAATAAAATTAGGGGTCGATCGTAGAGGGGTGAAAATTAAGGGTTGCATGTATTTTTGTATGTTGTATCATAAAAAAAAAAAATCGCGCTAAATTTAAGAGTACAAATATTTTTTTTAGGGTGGACACCCCTTGTCACTTAGGGGTTTGAAAGATAGATAGTAGCCGATTCTCAGACTTACTGAATATGCATAAAATATTTCATAAGAATCGGTCGAGCCGTTTCGGATGAGTATGGGAACGGACATTGTGACACGAGAATTTTATATATTGGATAGTCAAGTCTATCTAGGGAAGAGTTCTTAATAATAAGAAAAACTATATAATATATACATACTATATATATATATATATAACATTCAGACATAACAGACAGACAGACATAACATTTATTACAAACAAAAAACACACACATAAACACACAAAATAACAATACTTAAAGAAAACATAAAATAAAATAGAATAAAATTAAAAATTCAAATTAAGAAATTTTCTTTTGCCATTCGGTTCGCTTCCAGTGTGCAATGTGTGTGTACTGTGGTTGCAATTGGCCCTGGCTCAGCATTATGCTGAGGAGCAAAAAGTTCCACAGCGCTGGTCATTCTGCCAGAGACCATAGCAGCTAGTTTGCGCCTCTAATAAAATAAAATAAATAATTATAATACCAAGTAGAAAAATAATACCTAATAATAATATTAGAGTTAGAAGTGTGAGTAAATTGTGTGTAACGGTGTATAATAAATAGAATTAAATTAAAAGTTAAAAATAAGAATAAACGTAAATAAGTAGATATTCGTTTGTTTTATAGGTGGATAAAAACTACATTTCGTGGGACTTTTGTTGAATAAGTAGAAGTGTCTTATAAGCGCGACTAAAAGTCGACTTTAATTGAAGACACTTCAGCGGAGGAGGGATATCGTTCCAGCACTTCGTCGCGCTATATTTAAAACTCCCACGAAATGAAGCCGTCCGATGCTCGGGAATGGCCAGCTCCTGAGTACAGCTCCTGACTTTGTGCTTGTTGGCATTACTACGCCAGAGGAGCTTTTTGTATAAATATTCCGGTTGTTTAGTACATACCACGTCAAATAATAAACAAGCCAAATACAATTTTTGTCGACCCCCCATTGTTAGAAAATTTAAGTTGTTCAAATAGGGGGTGACATGTGAGCGAGGTGGTATGGTGATACAAAACCGGGCGCATGCATTTTGTACTCTCTGGATCAACCGTTGTGCTTTAGCAGTTATACAAGGCCCATACACCGGAAGAGCGTAGGTAAGTTTGGAGAGCACAATGCTTTCACAAAGTCTAATACGAAGGTCGATACTTAAGAAAGGTCGTATATTGTATAGAACCTTGAGACGGAAAAAGCAGTTACGAACTATATTTGTAACATAATCTTCGAACCTCAAATGACTATCGAATTCTACGCCCAGATTTCTTGCCATTGGGACCTGAGCTATAGGCGAAGAATTAACTAGAATTGTGGGACTTTGTCTTGCGAGATCAGACACTTGCTTCCTGGTGCCGACTATAAGAAATTTCGACTTCGTTGGATTTAAGAGGAGTGCGTTTTTATGGGACCAAACAGAAATTCGTTCCAAGTCCTCATTTATTTTTCGGACGCAGTCACTGACACAAGCCCTATCAACAGGAAGATATATTTGCAGATCATCAGCGTATAGATGGTAGTGACAATTTTGGATACATGAAGTTATGTCTGCAGAATATAAGATAAATAAGAGGGGTCCCAAAATAGACCCCTGAGGTACTCCTCTGTCGACAGGGCCCAGAGACGATGAAACACGGATACCATCACTTCCCAAAAAACACACTCTCTGATATCGATGCCTGAGATAACTACCAAACCACGAAGCGGATATATAGTCAAACCCATAGTAACGAAGCTTAGAAATAAGAAGAGGAAGATTGATACATTCAAAAGCTCTAGAGAAGTCAAGAAGAGTGAGGATGGACGGGTTACCTATGTCTTGAGCTGAGATCAAATTATCCACTACATCAAGCAATGCAGTAGTGGTACTGCGGAGTTTTCTAAATCCTGACTGAAATGCAGGGAGTATGTTACAGGCTTCGCAATGCTTGATGACTTGGTTATAAACTACTCGTTCCAGGATCTTTGAAAGGTAAGGGAGAATGCTGATCGGTCTTAAGTCTTTGAGTTCTATTGGATTTTGTATTTTAGGAATTGGCCGGACAAGGGCTATCTTCCATTGTGATGGAAAGGTATAGGTTGAAAGAGATTTGTTTATTATGACTGTTATAATCTTTAAAGTATAAGGAAGCGTTAAAATAAACATATCTCTACTAATTCCGTCATCCCCCTGTGCATTATTCTTGATGTCCAAAATAAGCTTACCGACGTAATGCTCACTGACAGGTTCGAAGGTAAAAATTCGTTCGCTGAATCGATTGTCATCAAAGTATGCGAGATAGGAAGGTTCCTAACAAATTATGTATGTACGTAGTATTTTCACAAGATCTTCTCTTTTCTTATAACGTAATAACATCCGGCTTTTTAAGTTTCCATATTATGTTTACAAACAATACAATAAATTCAAAAACGAAACTCTATGGTAAGAGCAGCAAACAAACTCTACATACTGACATACTAACATACAATGTCAGAACCCTGTCTTCTTATGGGCCACTTAGAATTAACAGAGGCACTCAAAAATATAAATCGATATAATTGGATTATCGGAAACGCGGTCTAGGAACAAAAATTGAAGAATATAGTAATTGTATGTTGTATATTCTGTTAAGTAGGACTTAATGAGTTAAATATGGAGTCAGCTTTTTAGTAAACTTACACCAGAGAAGAAACATTGAAAGCTTTACTGGAATTTCTGACCGAGTCCCACTTCTAAACATGAATGTGCAGGGCACCAAAATCTCTTTTATACAAGTCTACGGCCCCACATAAACAGCAAATGAAGACGAGCTTTATGCAAACGTTTTATGCAAACTTGTATGGAGCCTTGGATCTTGCACATGATACACATATAGTTATGGGCGATTTAAATGCCAAAATAGGCCAGACGAAATACCTGGAGATCCTTGGAGGAAGCCTTCACCAGCGGAAGGGTTCTTGCAAAGTACTTATTATATATAAAAAATTGTAAAAAAATTTAAAGTAATTTATAAAACAAAATTAATATAGGATTAAGATTACTTTTTTTGGCAAGAAATAAAAAAACTTTTTTATTATTATATTTATAAGTAATTTATACTTTTGAACGGCTCTGAATCCACAAAAGGCCACAAAAGCTCGTCAAAAATACTTACTTTAAATGGATATTATGATCTCACAAAGCAGAGCTATAACATTTTTTATTAGTAGCCATACCAAATTAAATCAGATTAAATAATATTCTATATGAAAGCGTGCGTTATATTCAGACATCTTAAAATTTAAAACATGCTATTAATTGTATAACATATCAAAATATACGAGGTTATAATAAATCTTGAACTTGATACATGACTTTGGTCTTAACCGGTCACTTTTAGGTCAATGTCTTGAGCCGTTCGCTGAGTCAACTTTATGACAATATGGATAACTATGTCTGATACAAACACACAAACATTACGTATATACTTGTTAACGATAATTTGATATATTTGAAACTCTTCTTTTCGAGGAATTATTAAAAAAAGGTTATGAAAGGTGAAGCCTACAAGGTACTCATACTTTGCCAGCCATAACATGCTTACATAATTTTTAATATTAAAAAAAATAAATTTCACTTTGAATGAAGGTTTGAGGAAGAAATTACTTGCAAATTGTTAACGAAATACAGTAAGTAGATTTTAAAACATATAAAGAAAAAGTGAATTGAATTTCATTACAAATATTTTTTATAAATTTTCGAACTTTTCGAGGGGCTCCCCTAGCAAAGTTCGAAAATTTATTCTCCCTTAGCATTCAAATTATCTACGTGTGGAGCGTGGGCCACCACTGAAAACACTGCATTAGACTGATAAAAACGTTAGTTATCAAAAAAATAGGGTCGTTTTGTCCAAATTTTTTTTCTTACTAACAGAATTAAAGTAAAGCACAACATGTTTTACAAACTATGAGATTATATCAATACAATAGACCTTGGTACCTATCGTATTTGTTTAATATTGTTTGTACCATCTACATCGCGTATTTGCCCAGCTATTGCTGTGAAAATATTAGTAGGCGATATCTTTTGTTAAATGTCATAACTTTGTTGTTGCACCATTAGGCTATGTTCAGATGGCAAAAACTTGACGCGCGTTTTCAAATCGCGCGACTAGACATTGTGGTATTTTCATACAACTGTTCACATGAGCGCGCGTCAACGCGCGTTAACGCGCGTCAACGCGGCGCTCAGAGAAAAAGTCTCTAGACGCAGGTGATCGCGCGTTGACGCGCGCTTTGATATTAATGTAATGTCCGTTTTCTGTTCAGATGAGCGCGCGCTTTCATCGCGATCGCATGTAATTTTGTTAATTTT